GCAGATTTGGGGTCCTCTCGCCGAGCGCAGAACGACCCTGGTTTCAATATATATATTTCTGGGCGGTTCTTTGGTCTGCCCGGTTTACCCGGGCGCCCCCCCCGGGCCCAACCAGCCGGGCCCAGCCCGGCCGGGCTGCGTCCTCACTCAGGTTTTTTTCTCTTTTTTTCTTTTTTTCCCCCCTTTTTCTTTTTTTCGAAAAGGGCAACGGCCTTGAGATATCATCATCATTGAACTGACCGGCCCCAGGTAATTCAGAATGATTTTATTCTGGTCATCTGATTGTATGCAAGGAAAATGAGCGGTAGCGAATGACATGAATCCAGAATGCAAAATCAAATTGAACGCCAAGCAAGTCCAAAGATGTCCAGAAAGCAGAAATGCACTGATATTCCACCAACGGAGAACCAAAGCACTGGATCCGAATGTCAATGAGAGCATACACTCACCACTACCAACATATGTATCCAGAGCCCTTCATCCTACTTGGCGCTCAGCGCCCAGACTACGTTCACACAGCTACTAGCAGCCTACGAATTKACAATKCATCCTGTTGACGTCAGCAGCAACAACTGAGGTACATATAGATGTCGACCTTGTAGACCATCGCCAAGACCAGGTATGTGCCCTCACATCGTCAACCTCATCTCTCTCTCTCTCTCTCTCTCTCTCTCTCTCTCTCTCTCTCTCTCTCTCACCCTCGACTTCATCACCCACATCTTCTCCCTCTTACACGAAGACCACCTCCACCTCTCGCTGGCTGTCCAAGCCCAAGCCCGACTACGTGGGCTGTTCTATGGCGCTGCCCACAGCAGCGTCCTTCCTCATGCATTACCGCACGCGTGCATGCTTCTGCACTGGTGCTAGCAGCAGCACATGCGTGTTCGCTCCAGCAGCGCTGCCGCCCGCTTTACCAAGTGTCCGAATGTCCATGCGGGAGCCCGGCCCTTTCCTATATGGAAAGTGGTGGGGACATTCCCCTTGCTTGCCCGATGAGACCGATTTTCCAGTAGCTTCAGTCTTGGCCAAAGTGTCTGCGCCCAGGTCCGTTCAGACAGTGGCCTGGGACAGAATTGGTTCGGCATGCCCAGCCACTGAGGCACAAACGTGCGGTGCTCCCTGTTTCGACCACGTTGCTGGAAGAGCCTGGAAGGCTCTCGCATATTTCTGATTTTCACGATCGAAGCGGATGTAACCAACTGGCGCGTGGCAACTGTCTGGCGTCCACTAAGATTCACAAAAATTGACGACTTCAGGGCACATTAAGGTTCAGGGGGCCCGCCTTCACCTACGGCGGGCACGCGCCTGCTGCAGGGCCTTATGCTGAGGGGTAAACCCTCACATTGTATCTGGATTCGAACTTGCATCTGTATTTCAACAGTTCGTGGGCGTACCAACTGAGCTAGGCCCATTGGTTAATTCTTATTTTCCCCTGATGCAGAGTGTAACATCCCTTCTTTTTTTTTTTCCATTTTTTTTCTGAGTACGGACGGGTCAGGCAAGGCACCAGGCAAGTGAAGGCTCGAAGACTCGTCACGATCCGCACGGGGGGAGGAAGACGAACCTCCCAGAAAGATCTGGATCGAGTGTAGGGACGAGGAGGGAAACACCCGGGAGGACGCGTGGCGAGTAAAGGTGCAATCTAGCAAGGAGTTAAGGGACATCCAGCCAGGTTTTATCCCTATCCCCCCCCCCCCCCCCCCCCCCCCCCCCCCCCCCCCCCCCCCCCTCCTTTTCCGCGGCCCGCCCTGACCCCATCTCCCTGTGCCTTCTCCGAGCCAGCTCAGGACCACTCCTTGGTTATAAAAAAAAAAACTACCTACCTGCAGTAATCCGTCCCCAAGAACAGCTCACAAGTACCAGTCAGCAGCTGGAATGGAGACCCAAAGCCAAGGACAACGCCGACCCTGGCCCGCTGCACACAGCAGTTATCCCTGGCTCGCGGCCGGCAGCAGAGGATCCCGGTCCGCTGCAGGCTAAGGACACATCGAGCCCAACGCAAGTCTCAAGTGGGGCCCCGGAGCCTCCGGCAGGGGGACAAGGAGGACACGGCGGCACAACAGAGCCCCACAAGAAAAAAGACCACTTTGAAGATGCCTTCGGAACGGCCCCGATGGAAGTTGAGACTGTCCCTGAGGCCCCYCCYTCCCCCCCCCCCCCCCACCAGCTCCGCCAGACGTCGAGATGACGGAAGCCCAGGAGCCACAGGTGAACAGCCCCCCAGATCTGGGTCTGCAAGCAGTGGCGGATTGGCTGATGGACAGCCTCCGAGCGAAATACTTGCAAGGCAATGATGACTTTTGGGACGGGGTGTACAGGGAGCTGATCCCAATGCCGGAAAGTAGTGACTCCTTCCACAAAGCGCTGCTGCAGGGACCCCCTGAAGGAACAGACTGGTGCACCATATGCCAGAAACTCCTCAGCATCGTTCTCAAACGTTTTCAGCCCCCACTAGCAGAGTAGGAGGTAGGTAAAGAACAGGAAACCTCCAACTCTCCCCGACCTCCGACACCGCAACAGGACGCGGCACCTGCTTCGACGGCGGCGGACTCCCCCTCGAGGGATGTACGTGGGAGTGGACCACAGGGGGAGAAAGGAACAGCGGTAGCAGGTGTTACGGAAGACAACCCTTCGGGGGCGGAATGGGCGGGAGGAATGCAGGGAGGGGAGGGTGAAAACCAGAAGGAGGTTGGAACAGCAGTAGAGGGTAGGTATCCACAGGCGCGCCGGACAGAGGCGCCATCACATCAGGGACAGGGGACCTCAGAGCCAACTGGGAAGGGTTCCCCAGAGGGCCTGTGCCTAGCGCTGCCAGCCTGGTCAACGGCATCCAACCAGATCCCACCAAGCTATGCCCCCGGCCCTGCCCCCAATCCCTCCGAGGATGGGCTCACCAGTAAAAGGCGAAAAATAGCCCATTTTCTAGAACAGGCACCCCCTGATGGACCACCCTTGAATAAAGGTATCATCTTCCTACCGGTGAGAAAAAAGGACGAGGGTTGGGAACTTGGCCTTGCAGCTCTGCCGGGGACAACCCACGGCGATGTCACTATGAGAGGGCGTTCCTCCTATTTTCTCTCCCTCATGTCCTGGGCAGACTGCCTGGCATTGAGGAAAGTGGAAATATCACAATTGATGCAAGATCAGCTCCCACAGGGTGCCTCCGCTGCCCTCGTCCGTTCATACGGCCAACACAGGTTGGCGTCCAAGGACATCTATCTGCTATACGACCATGAGCCCTCAGAGGGCTTGCAATGGTTTGACCACAACGCCCTCCTAAACCTGCAAATGTTAAAAATTAAGGCAGGGGATCTGTGGTCTGCCACGAAAATCACCTCGTTTGTGGTGAAGATACTCAGAAATGGCGCCCTGTAGAGCGGCAGTCCGCTGAACTCTGAGAAGTGGCTTCCCATGTAAAAAAAAATAAAAAAAAATTAAAACTACATAAGCGCAAATCAGCGAAATGAACACCGTGGAAGCATTATACGGCAGAGACAAGGCCTGGAAGGCCTGCAAGCGCCAAGCAGACCTTGATTTGCGTTCACTAAATGTCAACGGCCTGGCCTCAGCGAAGCCATCCAAGAGACAGGCTGTCATTGACCAACTCAGAGGGGTGGAGGGTAGGCAATGGCCAGACGTCATGTGCCTGCAGGAAACCCACCTCATGGACACCCCAGACCACAACCACATACACAAAGTGCTTTGGCCCCACCAAGCCTTCAGGGCCCATGCCCCCAGGCCGGGGAGCGCCGGTGTAGCCATATGGCTCCCCCTGGACTCACGGGTAGAGATGCTGAACTGGGTGGCAGACCGGGAGGAGGGCAGGTGGGTGTATTTACTTGCCATGCTGGAGATTGACATGGTGTGTATATTGAACATATACGCACCCAACGACCCTGCCCAGCGCCAACAATTCTTAGAGTCCCTGAACGTCAAGCTTCCAGCAGGGATCCGAGTAATTCTGGCGGGTGACTTTAACGCGGCCCCCGATCGTATCCTGGACAGATGGAAGTTCCCCGCCCCATGCCCCACATACGTCCAAAATGACGAAAAAACCATCGTAGAACTCACACAATCCCTTAACCTTTTCGACTCCTTCAGGAGACAATTCCCGACCAATCGTAGATTCACATGTTTCCGCAAGAGCAGCACGGACAAACCAACGAGATCCCGCATCGATCTAATCCTGATGTCAGAAGAAATACAAGGAGCCCTCCAAATTGCCGACATTTTCCTGCGCAGCCCATTCCCGGGTCTGGACCATGCATATTCTATCGTTCCGGAAAAAAACGGACCAAGGTAGAAGCTTCTACAAAATAAATACCTCGCTCCTGACCATCGACCGCTTTCGAGCATACGTCCTAGACGTCTGGTCCTTCTGGCGGGAACAGAAGGCCTGGTTCGACGACACAATCGAATGGTTCAACAACGGCCTGCCATTTTTAGGCCGCAAGTGCAACGAATACTCAAAGCTCCTCGCAAGTAAACACCACGCCGAGGAGGTGAACTTGCATCACCAACTGCAACAGCTGCAACAACAGGAGGAAGAGTTAGCATCCACGGCAACCACACCACAACAAACCGACATAGCCAACGCAATCCAGAACTTAGAAGTCCGCGTGCTAGATCACATGGAGAACCGCTGGCAGAGCGTCCGTATTCGGGGCAAACTTTCAAGGCACTCCACCGAAGGGGCAATGGATACACGCTTTTTTGCGATGGCCAGGGCAAAGCCGGGAAAATCGGTGATCTGGAGGACCCCAGAGGCAACCAAGGCCCCCTGCACACTTCTACAACATTCTGCACCAAAATTGCGAGGGACTTTTACCAGGAACTCTTTACCTCTGAATGTGGTGACACACCAATCGCACACCGACTACAGGAGATAGAAGACTTCCTCCTCCCGCTCGATAAAACCCTGAGTGGTCACCAAAGCGCAATCTTGGATGAACCTCTTTCCAAAGAGGAGATATGGACAACTTTGCAGCAAATGGATGACGAAAAGACACCCGAAATTGATGGCCTGCCCAAAGAATTTTGGACAGCAATGTGGCCCGACATCTCGCAAGATCTCATGGACTTCTACCGGGCAGTCTGGGCATCGGGACAGACTAGGGAATTTGTAGGGTAGGGGGTCCTGACGCTCCTGTACAAGAAAGGGGCCAGGACCAACATTAGGAACTATCGTCCCATCACCCTGCTCACAGTCGTCTACAAACTGATGGCAAAAGCCCTGGCCAACCGAATGACGTCAGTCATGCCTCTCATCATACATCCAGACCAAAATGGCTTTATTCAAGGAAGAAATATCCAGGATAATGTCCTCCTGGTCAACGAAGTCATTAAGCTAACACGGCAGTCAAGGAAAAACGCAGCAATCATTTTTATCGACTTTGAGAAAGCATATGACCATGTGGACTGGCTGTTCCTCGATAAATGCCTGGAGAAACTCAACTTCGGTCCGGCCTTCAGACGGTGGGTCAAGATCCTTCACACAAACGCAACAACTAGAGTGATGGTGAATGGGAACCTGGCCCCACCCATTCAGCTCCAGCGATCGGTACGACAAGGCGACCCTCTAGGCCCATTCTTATTTGTAATAGTAATGGAGGCGTTGGCAGCCAACTTGAGGAAACACGGGAGCATCAGAAAAATACAAATCTCGTCAATACCGCAAGGCGCAGTTCCGGTCTGCTCTCTTTTTGCAGACGACCTCACAGTAATGACGGAAGCCTCCCACGAATCGCTGGCTGAAGTCCAACACATGATGGACCGCTTCTGTAGATTAGCCGATATGCGAGTCAACTGGGGCAAGAAAACCCAGGCCTGGTGGATCCACCACCAAGGAGTGAGACCCCCAGAAGAGCCCAGCATAAAATGGCTCCCAAAAGAAGCCCCGATCAGGGTGTTGGGGGTGCTCATGTCGGCAGAGGGGAGGCTGACCACAAACAACGAATGGATTTCAGGCCCGCCTCGTGAGAAGATGACACTATGGAAGAACAAACATACCTCGCTGATAGGGCGCTCATTAATAATAAATAATGTGATACTAGCCTCCATGTGGTATAAGTCAGCCATCTGGGCCTTGGACAAGAGCACCCTTCGCCCCCTGCAGCGACAGATCGCCGCCTTTCTGTGGAGGGGCGACCACGAACAGCAAAATGTCATCAGTAGAGTCGCGTGGCACTCCCTGATCCAACCAAAGGCCTGCGGTGGCCTGGGCATACTCGATCCAGCGCTACAAACAAAGGCACTCGCATTGCAATGGCTCAAACGTCTGCTATTCTGTCCAGATACCCCATGGAAGGGGCTAGCCCGAGAACAGATCGCCCGTCTAGCACCACCGACAGAGGAAGGGAAAGATCCACTTATGTGGCTAGAAAACAGGGGATGGCCCATTCCGCGAAGGGCCACGCATCAACAGCAAGGTCTTCCCCCCTCCATCTCACCTAGACAAGCAGCAAGGGCGGACCTGCACAACGACCCGTTCTGGCCGGACCTCCTCAAAACATGGAGGAGCCTGCCCCTACCGGACAAAACCCCGCCAGGAAGATGGGAGGAGGTGGCACGACAACCACGTTTTGGGAATAGATGGATCACCGACTCAAGGGGGCAAACTCTCCATTGCATGGCATCGCCGTGGTCGGGCTGGGTGAAGCGCGGGGTGACTAGGATAGAGGATATATGGGACAGGGATCAAATGAACTGGATCGACCCGGACAGGCTGAGAGAACGACTGCGCTACTGTCACCACCTGGAAGAAGCCCCGGACGCCCTAATTGACAGGATACCTTTGGCCTGGTGGAGAACTCTTAAGGAAAGGCCCAACCCTCTTGTTATCAGATTGGGTGGCAGTGAGGGACCGCCCGAATCAGGTGGGCAACATAGCACACTATGAAACCGACGGAGCGATCAGAGTTGCTCTCTACCAAATAGGCTGGAATAACATCCACCAAAGAACTTCCCCGGAAGAAACAATCCTATGCCAAAGAGAAGACCTCTTTAGCATCAGAGTTCTTCACGAAAAGCAACAAGAGATCGCCTACTGCCCCCAAACCCCGATTCACCTGCTCGCTCTGGACCCCGTGGAATGGACGTAGATAACAGCCATAGGGAAGGGCCGGAAAACCGCAACATCATTATACGGCCTCACAATCAAATCGACTTATAGACTCCTTCGGCCAAAAATAAACCTTCGGGATCGGGTGGAGGCACGATGGATGAACCATCTAAACATTGATAAGAACCAGCTAAGGGGAATAAAATGGTTCAGCCTGATCAAGGAAAAACCGGCCAAATTTGCTTCGCTGCAATGGCAGATCGATCACTGCTGTCTGCCAACGAACGATTGGCTCATCGACAGGACGAACCTGGAACAGCGAGGGCAGGCCTTCCCCTGGTGTAGGCTTTGCACCGACGCGTTCCCCTCCAGGAAGATTCCGGAAATGATCGAACATATCTTTCTTCAATGCCCGGGCGCAGTGTGGTTATGGAGATGGTGGGACAGAATCTGGGACCAACTGGGGACCTAGATTCAGTGGCCTTGGGATTGGAAAGCCTTGCTATGCGAGGTCCTCACCACGAACCAGTTGGACGATTTCACAAGTAATTGGTTCAAACTGGGCCGCAGGGCAGTGCTCTGGGCCCTCTGGTGAGGACGGTGCACTTATGAAACGGAAAGTGCCCGACTGGAAGGCCCGGAATTCACAAAAAGCATTCAACAGCAGATCCAGACCGAAATAAGGGCACACTGGGAAAGGGTTAGGGAACGAATCCAGCACTTAACCTCATCAAAAGATATCCTTAAGATAATCAAGGAATTCAGCCTGAGCTGGCTTGGAGGGGAAAACGGGGGGAGGATAGGGGAAGTGGAGTGGAAAGGTGGACAAAGTGATCCAGGGGGGGGACAAGGGAGGGCTGACCTGGTGAGAGACTATCGGCTCCTGTTTCATGAGTGGTCCAAGATCGATTCGGCCATTCCCTTGCAACCCGCCCTTGAGTTCCCGGACCCCTTCCCCCCGCCCTCCAACTGTGTGGTAGGCCTAGACTGGTATGGGAGGGAGTGAGGAACCAGCTTTGTAGCAGCAAATCTCAGGCGGCCGCTTCAGGGTGAAGAGGTGTCCAGGGAGTGAGGAACCAGCTTTGCAGTAGCAGATGTCTGGCGCCCGCTTCAGGGTGAAGAGGTGTCCTCCTCCCCTAAAAAACAGTAGGTTTTGCTAGCCCATTGAGGATCAGTGCTGCTCGTATTGGCAAGATGTCATATCACCTACCTGCAGTACAGAATCCCCACATGCCTGCCCAGTTAATCCTCTGGAACCCAGAGCAATCAATGCTGGCAGGCTCCACCTCCGGTCCTTTTATGCTCATTGATTCTGTGTAAGGGACGCTGGACCCGTTTTCCAGCAGGTGCTGCTCCCCACCAATGGATGGAGCCCCTCCCCGGGTGCTAGAGGTGTCTTCTCGTATCAGCACCTCTAGCTCTGCAGGGGGCGTTTTCTCAAAAAAA